ATGATGATGATGATGATGATGATGATGATGATGATGATGATGATGATGATGATAGTATCACTCGTATCCTTTCATTAGTACTTGTACCATGCATGTTTTCTCTTTATTATTTCAGGCTCCACAAGACCTTCCGCGACCGGAAGTACGTGTACATGTTGATGGAGGTGTGTCTGGGCGGGGAGCTGTGGACCATTCTCAGAGACAGGTGGGTAGCTGACCGCTTGTGGGGTTCTTTCTTAGGCTTCTTGCTGTTTCTTTTTGTTCAGTTGTTTGTTTGTTTGTTTGTTTGTGTTTTTCTCTATTCAGTTTCATGTTCTGTTATTGGTTTGTTTCATTCTCAGTGACAGTTGATCAGCTGACCCCTTGTGGGATTGTTACTTGGGCTTCTTGCTGTTTGTTTGTTTTTTTTATCGGTTGTTTGGTCGTTTGTTTGTTTGTGTGTTGGTCTTTTTGTTTTTATTAGTTTCATTTTCCGTTGTTGGTTTGTTTTGTTTTTCTGAGAGACAGGTGAGTAGCTGACTCCTTGTGAGATTGGGTCTTGGGCTTTTTGCTGTTTCGGTTGTGTGGTCGTTTTGTCTTTTTGTTTTTATTTTCTCATTTTCTTGGTTGGTTGGTTTCATTCTCTGCTGTTGTTGTTATGGTGGACATTTATTGTCGTTATCTCTCCTCCTTCTTTTTGGGTGTGGGTGGTTGGTGGGTGCTCTGGTGTGGTTTGCTCCTTCTTTCCTATCAAACATCTATCGTTCTTATCTCCCCTTGTTCTTTTTTATGTTTGTTACTCTCTTGTAACACTTCTAATCTTCTGAGGCTCATATGACCTTATGCAGTTGTGAGCGCCGTAAAACCTCTACTAAAACTAAACTTCTTTTTTTGTGTATTTTACTAGTTTTGTAACACCTCTAATTTTCGGCACTAATATGACCTAATTTGGTTGCACGTGCCGTAAAAAGCTTTGCTGGAAAAACAACTGATGTAATCGTCCCTGTCTGTCCTCAGGGGTAACTTTGACGACTTGACGGCAAGGTTCTGCGTCGCCTGTGTGTTAGAGGCTTTCTCCTACCTGCATGCCAAAGGAATCATTTACAGGGATCTCAAACCAGAAAATCTTCTACTGGACGCGAGGGGATACGTCAAATTGGTACGTCGTTACTGGGTGTCTAAATTCTGATCTTTTATTAATGTTTTGTTTTATTCTCCTTTTTTTCTGTGCGGGGAGTTGAAGGGCGTCCCTTGTAGGTCTTGTTTCTTTTCTTTCCCCTTTGTTGTCGCTGTCTATCCGTCTTGCCTAACTTAACTCAATCTCAAACCCCGTTTTCTCTTTCCCGCTTTTTGATCTTACTGCCTTGTAACATATCTAATATTCGACACGTATATGACTAATTGTGTTTAAAGTGCCGTAAAATGCTTGAATTAAAACTATTTTTTAAAAACTTAACTGCATATCTATATCCAAATTCGTGTCTTCAAGTCTTGAATTGTTGTTCCTCTCATACTAAAAGTTAGTTCTTTCAGTACTCTTTTTCTGATGCCCTAAATTTCGACTCCCGAACATCGTTTCATTTTCTTATAATTATTCCGACTTCTGTATTCAGTACAGTGAAATGAGACTCAGGCTCTGCCTACTCAAGGTTGTACTCGCACGCGCGCGTGCACGCATACACATAATATATACACGAACATGGCTGTTCCCATACACACACATACGCGCGCGCGTGGATATGATAATAATAATGATGATGA